TTGCAAATGGGGAAACGTTGCAAATAGGGAAGCTATATCAGATCGGTTTGCTTTTTTTTCTTCTTGTAATTGGACGGTGACTAGCACCATCTGGATTACTCATTTCGAGTTTTAATGTTTGTTGCTCCTGCCATGTTGTGGTAAGTGGTATAACCGCAGGCTTCATTTCCACCGGGAATCACGTGACTCGTTGCCTTTCCGCCTTTTCTTGGGAGCTGGTGCGAGTTACTAGTTAGAGGTAGGGAAATATACGGGTTCTACTTTGAGGTTACTAATTGAAAAACTTGAGAAGACTATAAGTACCCTTGTAGATAAGATGGACGACTTAGAAAACCGGAGTCGGAGAAACAACTTAATAATATTCGGACTAGAAGAAACAGAAAATGAGAACAGTAACAGCTTAGAAGCACGAGTATCTAAAACCATATTTGAAGATAATCTTCACGTTTCTACGTCTGGAATTGAAAGGATTCACAGACTGGGTAGTGAAACACCCGGAAAAGCCCGACCGATTATTCTAAAGCTTCTGGATTTCAGAGATAAACTAACATTACTAAGAAACTGTTCCAAACTGCGCGGCACTAATATTTCAATCAACGAGGATTTTTTGAAGCGAGTCCAGCTAATCAGAAAGAAGCTCTTGGATTGCACTAAAGACAACAAAAGAGCGGGTGACAAAGTAGCGCTTGTCTATGACAAGGTGCGAATCAACAACGTGTTGTACGCGTAGGAGGAAACGATAGGCGATAAATCGTCGGTTCGCGATAGAGTCACGGCAGGCGACAGCGCCCTATCAGGCCCAGCATGACAGCACAAAAATAAAGAGCGTCGCTAAACCGAACTAAGAATCTTGAATTTAAATGCTAGAATTGTTGTTAATAAACTGATTGAACTTGAAGCATGTTCCTTGAGCACCGATCCCGATGTCGTCATTACCACTGAAACGTGGCTGTCTCCGAGTGTCCTTGATAGCGAGGTCGTTCCGCCCAACTACACAATAATACGCAAAGATCGAGGTGGTCGTGGAAGCGGGTGGCCATCGCTATCAGAAAGGGCTTCAAATATACTGAAATGCCTGATGTTCCTGGAATTGAATCTATTTGGTGCAAAGTTTCTTTTCACGAGTATTTATGTTTTGTTGGTGCCGTATACAGGCCTTTAGGCGCACCGCCTAGTTTCTTCGACATTCTTCGCAGTTATGTCGATAAAAATGTAAACAATAATAGTCGAGTCATCATGGCCAGCGATTTCAACGTTCAGGAAATTGACTGGGAACGTCATGTGTCTGAAAAAACTGTAAACGCGGACGCTCTACTTGAAATGTGTTTTTGTCATAACCTCGACCAGATAGTAAGAGAGCCCACGCGTGTTCATGGTTCATCTCAATCATTACGCGACCTTATATTTGTAAGTCAACGTTTTGAACTACTTGATTGCACGGTAGATATTCTAGACGGCATCTCTGATCATTCAATGGTCTTGGCGTCCTTCAAAACGCGACCACCAATTAAAAACTCCTCTCCATGTTCCGTACTGCCGGACTATTACAAAGCGGACGATATTGGCATTCTTGATTTTCTTGATATGCAATACCATCCATTTCTAGAACTCTTTCTCGATGACCATGCTTGCGTAGGTAACTTATGGGATTTTTCAAAAGAAAACAATGAATTATTGTATGGTTAGGTTCATCCCCACCAAGAATAAAAGAACAAAGAAGGATAACCCGTGGATAACTCGAGACATTATTCATACTAAACGTAAGCTCAGCCGGCTAAGGAAAAAAGCGAAGCAGGAAAAGGTACCACTTAACAGAAACCAGTTTTCGGTTCAGAATAGTAGACTGAAACAAGAAATAAAAAATGCCAAACAATCGTATTTGAACTCCACTCTTCAGTCATTTATTAGAACTTCCCCAGACAAATTTTGGAGATACGTGAATTCAAGGAAATCCAGCGCTATCGAATCACTCTCTCACGAACACTCAGAACTTCCTTTGGCATTTAATGATTATTTTGCATCTGTATTTACAACAGATAATGGACGGACACTCCCTTTTAATCACAGCGAGACCCCATTCATTGATAATATTACTATATCTGAACCTGGACACTACTACTAAGTCTAGACACTAAAAAAAGCTGTGGCCCGATAATATTTCAAACGTATTTCTTAGACGTTACGCGGAATGGTCTGCTAAGGATCTGACACTAATATTTATTAAATCACTAGAAACAGCCCAAATACCATCTGACTGGAAACTTGCGCAGGTGGTACCTATTCACAAATCAGGTGATAAGAAAGACCCGTCAAACTATAGACCCATTTCGCTTACATCGTCTTGTTCCAAGATCCTTGAGCATGTTGTACTAAAACACATCACTGCATTTATAGAAACAAATCACCTGTTAACCAGCCGTCAACATGGCTTTAGATCTGGACTTTCAACAGTAACGCAGTTAACAGAATGTGCATGATTTATCCTCAGCAATTAATAATCGTAGCCAAACTGACATTATCCTTTTAGATTTCTCTAAAGCCTTCGACAGAGTCTCACACACAAAATTACTGCTAAAACTTAAAACCTTACTTGGCCCAGGACAAATTGTTGATTGGATTGAAGCATACCTTACTGGTAGAAAACAGTTCGTCAAAGTTAACGGGCAAAGTTCACCATTAACCACAGTTACTTCTGGAGTCCCACAGGGATCTGTGCTAGCACCTCTCCTCTTAATGACATAGTAGACAACGTTGATGTAAACATTAGACTGTTCGCAGACGACTGCATATTGTACACTGAAGTTAAAACTCAAAACGACCAGCTTTTACTAAACAGTGCACTGCAAGTGATCAGTGACTGGTGTTCTGATTGGCAAATGGTATTAAACGCAAAAAAAAATCCGTTTACATGACAATCAGTAATAAAAAAAGTACTCTGCAATTTCCCTACAGCATTGACAAGACTTCCCTTCAAAACTTCGAACAGTACAAATACCTCGGACTCCAATTTCAGCAGAGCCTTAGGTGGGAAACTGACATCGACTTCATTACTACCAAAGCAGTTAACAAACTACGGTATCTAAGAAGAGTTTTAAAATCAGCATCCCACGAAACAAAGTTAGTAGCCTATAAGGCTCTGGTACGTCCCATAATGGAATATGCTAATGTCGTATGGTTCCGCCACTATAAAACACACGTCGCTCAACTAGAAAAAGTGCAGCGCTTGGCTGCTAGATTTATTTTTAATAAATTTCGCTACTCTGACTCACCGTCCCACTTATGCGATCTAGCTCAACTGGCACCACTCGAGAAAAGGGCAAGAATCTCAAGACTAAAGTTCCTGTTTCAAATATTAAATGACCAAACTCTTATAGATAAAATCAAATATGTTACTTCACACATTTCCAGAGCTACGAGAAGGAATCATGGAAGGCTACTCACAGAATATCGGAGTAACAACAACTTATTCAAATACTCATTGTTTCCGGGAGTTGTGTCGGAGTGGAATAGCTTACCTGACGACATTGTTCACTCCACATCTATAGAATCATTCTCAAATGCTCTGGGCAATCACCTAATATGATGTGTATTCTACTTGTTCCTATCGATTCATCCTATTCTAGTGGTTTAATGTTATTTTCCCCATTTACAAGTGTAATATGTGTATTAAGATCCTCCCGTGTCTCCACTGAGTAGCTCCATCCTCCTCACTGTCTTTTTTTTTTAACATTGCACTATAAAGTATGTAAATTGTGTTTTACCTTGTGACCACCCTACTAAAGTTTCCGCTGGAAACTGGTAGTATTTCTAAATAAATAAATAAAATACTAGCTTCTTGGCCTAGAACCATTACTTGCTTCTTGGCCTAGTAACCATTACTGGTTTGACCGTTACTACATACGGTTATTACGTAGTACGTACCTAGTAAAAAATGTGTCAAGCAGTTACTAACTTCTACCTAGTAAATAGTACTAGCTTTCTTCTTCTTTTTTTTTTTTTTTTTTTGAAGAGAGCAGTCCGGCAGCACTTAAAGAGGACCTCGAAGGGTACATGTGCTGATCCAGCTTAGAGGCCAGGGAGGCCAGAGCCAAGCTGGGCTTTCGGTAAAGCCTCTGCAGGATGCACGAAGGGGGACCCAACAGGTCTTTAATGTACGCCGCAAAAAGGGTGCATACAGCATACTGTTGAGTAGCAGGAGCTGGCATTAGGGTCGCAGTCTTCATTTAAAATGAGGTTCAGTCACTCTCTATGGTTTCAGAATTGTGTCTCGTGAAACGACAGCCCCGGCACCTACCTTCCCACAGCTACCACAGCAAATGCCGAAAACAGCGCCAAAAATGCAATAACGTTATTGGCTTATTCACGTCTTTCAGATCCTTCAGATTTCTTCTTGTATAGGGAAGCGGCTCACCCTCGCGGTTATAACTGGCAACCGGCGATTGGGCAGGCATTATTAGCATGCAGGAGGCTATGCACAAATGCACTAAGGGGCTTTAGAAAAATGCTCATTGCAAGCCTCTCAAAGTAACCTTAGCGCGTGGTGCCCTTACTTTCAAGCATGAGGTATCAGCCAAAACTCGGATACATCTTTTGCTTTCTAAACGTTTTTTTTTTTTCGTGTGTTTTTTTTTAATTATCCAGCTTTTAAAGATCATGCTGTATGGGTAGTTACACGAGCTGCACGTGCTGGTCTGCACGTGCTGGTCTGCAGAAGTAGCTCTACTAAAGCAAGTATTTAAAGCGAGTGACACTTCACGCGTCTCTTCGTCAAAGCCTTATTTTTATTATTTATTTTGATCCATTTATAGGAATAACTCGAGCGCGTGTACTTACATTTACAGCATTCTCCTTGGTGCTTGGGTGATTTGGTAAAGGGCCTATTCCACCAGAGTGTTCGTCCGAATGGCAACTTATCCGTTAATGCAACAACGACATACAAAAGCTGATAATGCAAGTTAAGGCTCATGATCATCTGCGCACGTTGAGAAAAAACATCTTACGGCTGTTCGAGGACACCCACTCTCCGTCGCCGAACACCACGTCACTAAAGATGGCAAAGTCGCAGACTCCGTCTTGGGGCAGGAGGGGCAATCTGGAGTGGGTTCCCGTCACGCACACCAAGGGGTCCGTCCCTGCTCCTCGAAACGTAGGATAGAGTGTTAGAAGAACCCGAGCGACTCACTGCCCTCTGAGCGGCACCGGCATCCAATTTGGGCATTGAAGTGCGTCAGGGCCGGTTTCCTGGAGAATGCGGGTATTTCTCCCGGCTATTAAAATAGCCGCAAAACATATTTTAAAGTCACGTGACAGGCTCCTTGGGACAAGGAATTAGAGGTACCTATAGTTCGTTTCACCTAGGTCCAGACGCAGTCGACGCTTACGAGCTGATAGGGCCAATCGCAAAGCATCAAAAGCACACCATCATGGTGTTCGTCATGTTTCTGTACGTGTTCTATCGTCGCTGAACCAGTCAGAAACAAAAAGGCCCAGTGAGCTGCGCTTTTGACGTTGCTCAAACGAAGTATAGAATTCCAGGCAAATGGATGCCGCAAGTCGTTTTTCGCTTCGATTATTCAAGTCCGATTTTGCGCCCATACAAAGGGAGAACAGTTTGTAAATGTAACTGAAATGATCCGCATTCGTGTACTTCAGATGCAGCATGTAAAGTTATTTCTGGGGAAGCTCGTGTTGAAAGAGAATTAAAGAAATCGACAGGCAAGGCTTACATCTGCTGAGAAGCATGCAATCGGGTGGAGCTCCGGTTATTTTCCTTCTACGCAGTCGCTCACGTGATCTCAAACTCCGTCTTGCGGGTGAGTTGACCGCCGGGAGATTGAGATACCAGCATTCAGCAGCAAACCGTCCCAGAACAGTGAACAGGAGACGTCTCGGCCGACCGCTATACTCCATTCATCTCCAAACGGACAGTGCGGTGGAAGCTACGCGTTCGCCGATATCAACCCCCTCCCTTCCATTGCCCGACCCCACTTTCTGCACGTGAGTATGAGCAGAAGCGTGATCATGTGCCGAAAGATAGTCAGTTGACTAGTCCCAACCAATACGTGACTTCCATCGCACTGTTAACTTAAATATGAACCGTGTGGCTTGGGGTCAGACAGGATGGCTGGGGGAAGGCCATAGCCAAAGGGGAGGCGCAATTATTTTCCATGGAGTGTTTTGGAACGAAACAACGGCAGGAGAGCCACCCCCAAAACGAAAAGCATCTCTCCGCTCATATTTGAATTCGCTGAGCTGCACTGGCAATAAGGAAAGTTTAGTTTTTTCGTAAGCGTCAATAATGAAAAAGAAAACTCAGCTTTCTTTTGATGTGTCGATCAAACTGTTATATTCAAAATTACGAACGCCATGGACGCTGACGTTCAGCCTCGTTCTTTCTGGCATGCGTCATCAGCGTCCTTCTTTTCTACCGTTTCTCTTTTTTTTTTGGCGCAAGACACCTACAGAATGTACGATGACAGTCCGAAGATTGAAGCGAGAAGCCATGTAGCATGTCGGGCGCGGTGTAAGATACACAGTATAATAGTGTGGACATAGGTGTTACGGAACGTTGCGACGCGATCGACGAGATAGTTCTATTGGCGCGCGCCCCAGTAGCCTATTCCGACCGCGTCTCCATCGTTGAGACTCTGCAACTGAGGAAAACGTAACAAACAATAAACCACGAGAACATGCCTCGCTCCCATGGCAGTTCCGCGCGTTCGCTTTCCGCTCGACGCGTTTGCCCAGGGCTCGAAAGACACTGGCTTGAACACCGCGCCAGATATCCCTCCACTTCAATGCATTCAGTAAACTTCTTTTGCAGCCGTTGAGGCACGAAACTAAGGTCAATGCGAAGTTGTGTCTAAGCAAGACGCGTAGTACAAGTGCCAAGTTCTGCATGATACATCACACCCATGAAACGAATTTCAAAAGAAGCATTTCTTCCATAGAGAATTATAGAAAACTGGACCCGCGACAGGCAACCATTAGCCGATCATCTGGTGGCAGGGGGTTGGAACCAAGACGAGGAGAGGACTTTATCTGGTAGCTGCAACGCGTAGAGTGTCCACGCCTATGAACATTTTGGGAGGAAACAGCGGCAAACAGCTTGGACAAGGGTAAAGAAACGCACACAACTGGACGGCGCTGAACTAACAACTGGTTTTTAATGCACACAAAAAGAAGGAAGAAAACAAGAAGCACCTTAATCAGACAACACAAGTTGCACGCCTACACTATCTATTTTCTATCGTAGTTTAGGGTAAATGATGGCGTGTTCACAAGAGACGCGTGCGAAGGCGTGCAGCTTCTTCATGACGAAGGTATTTGTTAGTTGACCAAGGTTAATTATATTATGCTCGCCATCAGCCATATTGTGCTGCGTTGTCAAGGCTAGCGTAGCTTCTGCAGTGCAACTCTGTTAAACCTAACTGCATGAGCGCATGCGAAAAAGACGCAAAACAAATCCACGTGCTCGCACAGCAGTGCGGGAATTCAGCAATGTGAGAGCTGCGCCAGCCAAGACAATGAGCACAAAACAGTTGACGCCGAGGATCGGCGGCGAGATGTTTTGGTGCCGCCCTCATACGGTTCCCTCGCCTGATGTCATTACCTTGCCAAAAACAAGTTCGATGGTGTTGGTAATTAGCAGAGTGGAAGCTTGAAAGCATTTCGCTTTGAAAGCAACACTGAAAGGATTGCGCATTGAAAGCAACACTGCCAACAGAGTCCAAAATTGAAGGTCTTACATTACCCTAATTTCCGTCCATAATAAATTTTTACTGACGTCATAATCAGCATTCGGCCAATCATGGCAGGCCGACCACTTCACGTCGACAATGGCGACCACAGTGCTAGGACACGCGACGTGTGAAGCGGGTTTCACACGCAGCGATTCCGCGGCCGAAATCTCTGCCGCTAGCGGCGCGGCGGCACGGATCGCGACGTTTCATTTCACATGAGCGTTTTCTGCCGTTTCGATGGCCGATGTTGCTTGCAGCAATCAGATGCATACAGTCGGCTACAGCGGCTTCTAACCACAATTTAAATGCCTTAGTTTTCAGTTTCCCCTTTAGTTTCACCTTAATAAAACAAAAATAGCATTTAAAATACGAAACGTACCTTGATCTTTTTTTGTTCATTTATTATTATTTTTTTTTTTACTTTGTTGTCACGTGGGATAAACCCCCAGATCATCCTCGGCAGCGTCACGAGCAGCGGCTTCCTCGGATGTAAAGACTCCAACTGATATGGCCGCGCCGAACCTCCCGAACCCGTAGTAGCGCAATGGTTTCATACCGGTCTTGTCGATCACTTTCACGGCCTCAGTCGCCAGCTGCCAGAGTTTCTCTTTGGTCCCATTGTTCCTAAATTCTTTGACATGCGCGTCCCAAAGAACCCGATGCTTCGACACCTCAGTGATAAGCAGTTCATTGAACTGGGCGCGATACATTTTGTCTTACTCAGTGTGACGATCTGTGTTGGAAAAGACACGTCAATGTCGCTCAGTTCTTCTTTTTCTTTTGTTTTTCTCATTAGCGCTCGCACAAACCGCTTCCGATTAAGGTGTATCCACACGACGGACCAAATTGCTGTTTCGGTCCGCGGGCCGCGCATCACGTGATCTTACGTCACCGGTTTTCGAGGTCCGCCGGTGGTCCGCGGCCCGCGCTTCTGAGAAATGCCAAGCACCTTTTCTCGCCTGGACCTTGGCGGCGGACCGCGGCGTTTTTAGTATAATTGAAGTGCTAAGTCTGGCAACAAGCTGACTTTTGTTGTCTGGATTGGAAACCAAATCCAAAGTCGTTTTCTTTTGGCGCCAACTGTTGAAGACGAAGAAGACGAACCTTTTGTTGTGCGACGATGCAACGTTTTACCTCATCGCGCTCGTGGAGAAATTCCCCGCTCTGCGGAACAATAGTCGCGACGACTACTCAAATAATCATCTAAAGATGTCCCCATGCCTTTTTCGGTTCACTTAAGTCCTCCTCGTCCTCAATAGTCAACGCCAGGGCCAGCGCGGCCAAACGTCTCTTTCGTTCTTTCGTTCAACCTCCATCTTGGCTCCTTACAAATAGCCTCAACGCAACTCGCTGCATGCGTTTGGCCGAGCTGTGAGGTGGAGGGTTAGACCGGCCCGTTCACTCTGTCGTCTGCTCTTTTGGTCCGCCGTGTGGATGCTCATCGCAGCCGGGCGGCCCGCGGGCCGCGCATCACGTGATCAATCGGTCTGCGGCCCGGTCCGTCGTGTGGATACACCTTTAGCGTCTTTTGCGCTCGCTACAGTTGGTACTCAGACGAGGAAAGTAAGAAAGAGCCTCGTGATTCATTGAGAAAACATATTCCGAGGAAGGGGACAGCAATCCCCCTCCTCCATAATCTTCTGAACAGTTCCGACGCCACTGCTGACGCAAAGAAGCTCGACCTGCCGGAAAAAAAGAAACCGCAAACCAGTCGCTTGCGTACTTTCTCTGCTTGTCGTCTGCTTCAAGAACGTGAAAACGCCGCCCTCCTAAGCGCCAGCTTTCCCGCAGTGATTCTCCTCCTGTCACGCGATTTTCCGCCGCATTGTGAGCGGCCAGCGCGGAGGCTGCCGCTCTGCCGCGGCGAACTTGTGGAACCGTGCCGCTCCGCCGCTGCGGCTGGCCGGAGAGTCACGACGGCAGAAATCGCGCCGCTCAACGCCCAAAATCGCTGCATGTGAAACCCGCTTGACGAGCGCTGGCAAATTCTGATGGGGATTTGCTTTAGTGGATTTGGAGAAGTGTTTGGAGCGTTTTTCTGTTGATATCTTCCTGCGTGTACAAGCGCGCATTCGCATTTAGCGCACTAAAGGCGATAGCCTGGAGCACTTTTGGATCCCTCCAAATCCACCAAGGGAATTTTCCGTGACTTAACTCTGATTAAACTGCATACTGAATTTTAAAAAAATGGTGCATACGGCTGCTTTACGCTTTACGTGACGTCACAATAAATGGTACGTTTGTATTAAGTGGCGTAGTGGCGTCATTTATCTCTAGGAAATTCGAAGCGGAGCCACTCAAGCAGCTTTTAGGTCTCAACAGACTGTGGACTGTATCACGCGAAGATCACGATTGAAGGGAGAACTAACCAATCGAAACAGTTGGAAGAGAAGCGACGTCTACGGGGACGTTTTTAGCACGAGGCAGGGGCTCAGGACGGCGTCGAGATCCGGACTTTTTCTCCGTCACCATGTCCTCAGGCGGCTTTGTGCTTGGGACATCCTCTTCTGTTGGAGCTTGATAGTCGCCTTCACCCTGCATGTGGCCTCGTTTGGGAGATTGAGTGACGTGGTTTATCATCCTCCTTGCTTTTTTCTTGCTGTGTGGATCTGTGTCATGTAAATAAAGACAACATTTTATGTTCAGGAGCCGGCTGTGTCCTCTACACTGTAGCAGGCAGGCGAGACCACACAAAAACAGAACGTGGCGCCTAGAGTGTCGAAATTAGGCCTGAATGCCCGTAGAAGCCCTATTTACATGATATCTACGTTACCAGGGTAATTGTTAGATAAATAAAAATGTTAAAAAGATCATGCATGGGAGAAAAGTGCGAACTAATTTTTACCTAAATTCGAAGTGGCGCATTTATGTCTGACATTGTTAATGTCGGTGAATGCACCAACTAAAAAAAGAACTGTCATGTATCGTTTAACATATATTTTTCCTTTCACGAAGTCGTTTTAGTATAACAGATTTGTAGCAACTAAAAGAAAGAGTAAAGTGATCTTTAATGTAATTTTTTTTACAGCGCGCAAAGCAGACGAGGACGAAGAAACACACGTGACGAGCGCTGCGCTCGTCACGTGTTTCTTTTTCGTCCTCGTCTGTTTTTCGCACTGTTTCCTACGATTCATTCCCCCCAACGCACCCAACTATTCATTTTTCTGTGATAGCTGGAAAGGTTGCCACCATCTAGGAGCGACGGCGGCAACCAGGCTGGTTGTGCGCTTGACGCCGTCGCTTACAGATGGCGGTAGCTGTCCAGAGGTTTGCGGAGCTTTGTGTCGACAAGAATTTGGTACCGGACACGGTCCTGGGCAACCTAGCCCTTAACAGCTCGCTGTAAAATAAGTTTTCAATGCGACACTGAGTATGTCGTGAGCATGCGCAACTTAAAGCTCAGTGTCACATCAGAGACATCTTTTTTTTTTTTAAAAAAAGAAAACAATGTTCCTTTTCTTTCTTTCTTTTTTTTTTTTTTTTTCTTGCTTGCTTTGTTATTAATTGAAAAGCATATATAAATAGCTGAGCTCTAGGGGGGCGGGGGGGATTTTCGGGCATTTTTTATAAAACAAACATCCTCATACCCAGTCAAAACTCAAAAGCGCTCCGCAATATTAAAAAAAAAAAAAAGAGATTGTTGCTGCTGTTTTTTCTGCGTCATAAGGACAACGCCGTCATCAACACTAACAAAGTAACTAAAAATCCATAGCCTTTTCACGGACGCATAGTTGAGCCGAAAGCATGTAGTGATTTCAGTAAAGACGCCACAGTTGCTTCTCAGCACACGTTTTTACCCAACTGCGGTAAAAACACAGCTGGAGCGAGAGGTTTTCTAAGCGTGGCCATGACACGACGCCACGACGCGGCTGGACCGACAGGCGAAATCAACTTGGCAGCTAGCCATTTCTCCGGCGGCTGTCGTTTTTAAAACGCTTTTTCAAACGCTTTTTTTTACAGCGTAGCTGTTAAGGGCTAGGTTCCCCAGGATCGTGTCCGGTACCAAAATATTGTGAAGACAAACCTCCACAAACCTCTGGACTGCTACCGCCATCTATGAGCGACTGCGGCAAGCACACAACCAGTCTGGTTGCCGCCGTCAGTTGTAGATGGTGGCAACCTTTCCAGCTATTATAGAAAAATGGATGGTTGGGCGCGTTGGTGGGAATCCATCGTAGGAAACAGTGCGAAAAACAGACGAGGACGAAGAAGTAACACACCTGACGAGCGCAGCGCTCGTCACGTGTGTTTCTTCGTCCTCGTCTGCTTTGCGCGCTGTTTCCTACGCTCTTATCAGTTTCGGTTTAAACTCAGGATGGGCCGTGCCCGTGCCTTTCGGGGAAGGAGACTGGGTGCGGAAAGAGCGGTGACGTACGCAGCAGCGCGAATGGGTCCGCAACCGACGTGAAGCCGCTGTCGCCTCGACTTCCACTGCGTCCATCGCTTCAGACTCCCTTGCGAAAGAAGAGCTTATCGCTCGCCTGGAAAGCGGCCGCCGAGAACAGAACCAGCGATGTAAATGGCGCCGGCGGGCTACGGAGGCCAAGCGCAAGCGCGAGGCCCGGCGACGACAGCACTCCAAGCTGGCTGGACAGTTCCCGGGTGCGACGGCGAGGTTCCGGAGTGAGTTCGTTGAGAACCCGTTTGGCGTCACGTGCGCCCTGTGCGACCGACTCCGGTTCGCCGGAGACGTATCCACGATCGGCGACGTGTCGGACGGGAAGAATCGGGGAACGCGCACGTGCGCGTTGCGGCAGTGTGTCGAGTCGGCGGACGTCTACAAAGAACTGGCGTGCAGAACGTGCCGAGATTCTCTGCTCAAAGGCGCGGTGCCCCGGTTCGCGACCGTGAACGGCTACAAGTACCCACCAGTACCGGAGCACCTACCGAGGTTGAACGTGGTGGAGGAACGACTAGTGGCGCCTCGACTCCTGTTCATGAGCCTTCGGCGGTTGACGTGGTATAACGAAGACAACCGGAGACAATACGGTTCTCACATAACCAATTGCCTAATCACACCTTACTCCTTACATTTATAGACCGACAAGCGGGCTTGACGTCACGGAGCTGCGGCGGCACTGCGATCGCGCCGGAGCCGGGGGGTGTGGGCAAAAGCGCGCACGTTTCGCATGGGCGTCATAGCATTTCAGCATGCCGCGAAGCTATGTTGCCGTTAATTGCACCGAAATCTACAAGAAGAGTAGCGGAGTGAGTTTCCACAAGTTCCCGGCAGACTCTGAAAGGCATAGAAGGTGGATAATATCCGTGGATCGAAAAGAATGGTCGCCTCGCGCGAACAATCGTTTGTGTGGCAAACACTTTCTTGAAGGCAAGTGCGGCTTCCATTTCAATCTCCGTCCCGAGGCTTGCTTATGTGCAGGGAAACCGTTGTCTGATCGAGACCACCCAGGTTTTGTTCCCATGGTGTTCGCGCACAAAGCACCGGCCAAGCGCTCGTCGGAGGCTCGCAACGCTTGTGCTACCCAGAAGAAGGGGATCGGCGACAGAACGGCAGTGTTGTGGGCGGTACCGAAAAAAAGTAACGAAATACGTTACTAGTTACTTGCAAATAAAAGGTACGCGTTACTGAGCTACGTTACCTAGAAATAAAAGGAACGTGTTACCGCTACCGATAAAACGTAACGCACGTTACTTCTGCGTTACTTTTTTTAAATTATAATTTAACACATTTTATGGTTTTGACGATACAGGTCATATATCAAGAAAAATTCTGTTCATGCAGAAACTGAAAATAATTACTTCATCTCATTTTACGATTTCACCTAAATACTTACGAGAAACAACGCGAAGAAAAACATGGCTAGACGCCTAAAACACGGAAAAAATTTAAGTGTAATTTCTTTAAGACTTGGGAAGTAGTAACGACTAACATAACTACGTTACTTGAAATAGTAACATAAGTACGTTACCCGTTACTGTGTCGAAAACGTAACGAGTAGGTTACTGCGCTACTAAAAAAAAAGTAACGCGTTACCAACAACGCCGTTACTTGTAACTTGTTACCGCCAAGACTGCAGAACGGACAAACCGTTACTGCTTGTCATGCCTTGTGGTCATGGGGGTAGGAAAATATCATACCTTGACTTGAAGACGCTGTGTGTATTTAATCAATTAATGAATACACACACTTCCGCAGACCCAGAGTCTGCTGATCCTGCCGGCAGTGCGGAAACCGACTCGAAGTAATCGTAGACCTCGAGAGACTTATACGCCTGCACCGTGTCGGCCGTGAACTGGCTTGGCAAAAAAACTCAATATACGACGACGTGAGCCGTCGACTTCCGTGGCAGCAACTTTACGTCGGAAGTCCAGCAGGCCTTGTTTACGGCGTACGGATCCTCGTAGGCAACGCCGTCCACGCACACTTCGTTTCGATACCGCTGTTATTCAGGCTCGGGCCACGAGCTCAAATAGTCGGGCATAGCATACGACATACCTTGTGAGGAAATACGACGCACAAATAAAGATACAAGCGTCCCTACAACGTTAACAACGAGCGCACGCCATAGAACGCAATGGCGAAAACATGGACAGCCGGGCTGCTTTTGCCCACATTGCTACCGCGCATGCGCGGCCTTCCGGCCGTGTTGGTAAACAGAGCCTCCCCGCGTGTCGGTCTATAAATACTTAATTTCTACCATAGTACAGCGCCGCTGGTTTTCCTTCTTCACAAAAAAAATAAAAAATAAAAGCTTTTTTTTTTTTTTTTTTTTTTACTTTTTGTTTTTTTTACTCCGAACTTCGGGACGGTTACAGTAAGGAAGCATTGCATTCTATAAAATATTATCGCGCAAGCATGCACATCAACCAGCACACATTGAAAATAACCAACGTTTCTTAGGTTCCTCCATTTCCGTCCCGGGCAAGATTTTCGAAATGAGGTAGGCCCCAAACCTTTTTCGGACCCCTCGCCGGCGACTCGTTCTCCGTCGTCCTTGTGCTCATCCTTGTCGTCGCTGATGTCATGGTACACCTTCCGAATGGTTAGCCTGCGGGATGCCGCTGTGGCGCGAGGAAAGCGCTCCGAAATTACTCAAACAAAGTATCTAAGGCCTTTTGTGATTTTACAAATATGATCATATTAGCATCGCGGTTCTCTCAATGCTTGCCCATAGAGAACGGCACCGAAATATCTTGGATTGTTCGGGAATCGTGATGTTTTTAATTTTTCTTTTTATAGTGAATGTTTTTTTTGTTTTTTTTTGTACTTTGCAGGAGGACAGCTCATAATATTGCGAGATTTTAGAGCTTTACATATCACAGGCGTGTAAATTCCGATTCCACAACATTAAAACGTAAGGACCGAGATTTCGTTCGAATGTTCAAAATATAATAAGAACATAGATTTTTCTTAACAGCACAAGCGATCTGATTTCAAGGTTCAATAAGAGTTGTTGACCAGATCACACCACTATGAGCCCTCCTCGTTACACATTTTAAATTATTAATATACTTGGGGCCTTATTCAGCCGCCCTGACTGCCCAATGACCTGTCGTCCTGTACTCCAGCGGTGCTTGTTTTCAATCAACTTGCCTCCTTTTAGGTAATACCTTATGTGCCTTGGCCGGAGCCCTAACGAACTGAGGTGCATAGTATATTGCGTCTCATCGACCCTCCAAGTGCATACTGACCGACTGCATGTATAGTGCATACAGACGCTTTGCACACTCGCGAGATTACAGTCACCATTGCTGATTTTCTCTTGTCTTACCGAGATGCAAAATCACTGAAGCGGGCTTAGAATAGCCTCCATAAAGTCCAAAGCTGGGGGGAAGAACACAGTCGAATCTAAAATGGCAATAACTTGTCCTGCTGTGGTAATGATGGAGCGAAGTGATCGAAATAAGAGGAAACAAAAACTGAAGGTCGGTCATGGCGGTGCCCATGCACAAAGCGTCTATACGTATCCTTCCACCTGTAAAGCTGACTGGCCTTCGCTCCAACCACTACACCTAACCGTTGAGTGCCAGAACAATCGAGCAAGGCTAGTTTAGTCATTTTCGCACCAACCAGAAAATAAAGCAAATAAAATAATATACCCGTCTAAGACATTTTCAGACGGATTTTTAACTGTTTCACAACAAGATTTAATTTTTTTTTTTTTTGTTTTTTGCATCCTACGATGTCCCATTAGTCATGTCACATTGAATCTGCATGTAGTAAATTCGAGTCCCTATTTCTCGGAGTTGAATTTTAATTGCTGTCATTGTCCGTCATTTACCCTTTGTAATAACTGCGCTGTACGTTCGTATTTATTTCTTCAGGTGCCTCAAATGCACCCTAAGCATCGTCCGCTCACTTCCAGCTAACTCATCTGTGTCAAGGTGGTCACCTACTAATCACAATTTGATCTGCGTAACAGCATTTCATACTGTAGGGCAGGCTTTTACGAAGCAAAGCTTTTGTCATATTGCTACTATTAAGATTGTTTTCATGATTTCACGCATTTAAAAGATAAATATTGACCACTCTCCAAAAAGTGAAGGGTCCGTCAAGGGCGAGGTATGTTTTTTGATTACTAGGCAAGACCACATACGTGATCCTCGGGTATGGAAGAACATAACGACCAACATGAAAGCCAGCAAACCCACTGCTGCGATGCCAAGGACCTGGGGGACATTGGGCCTGCAGGGTGAAATTTATATTGATTAATCGCAAAAACGTCCAGATAGTTTACGAATATCGCGGTTATTTTTGTAACAGGTATAAATATTTTGTGAAGATGTGTTGGATAACGAATCGATAGTTCACTAAATGATAACATACGGTGGGGCTCCTACAGTTCGTAGTGTTGAAGTGTAAGAAACCAAGACGGATGTCACAAAGTCACTTGTGTTTGGCTGATAGTGGGTGCACGTTTCATTTGAAAAATAAAAGCAACAAAAATAATTTTAGTTGTAGCTAAATATTTCACAACCTTCTGCTGTACATGGGTGTTCAGATCGGCCTACTAAAATAGCCTCAATGCTAGCTGATCTAGAGAGTAATATGCAATTTGGGTTCCTACAAACTTGGAAGTGTAAATTGTTAAGCCCATATTAGTTCCCTAAGTGGTATGCTTTATATTTTTATATTAAAAGCAGTCGAAGGCAGACTTTCGAAAGGAGGTATTAACTCAAGATTGTACTTACCCTTGAGTTTCTGGGATATGTCAGTTTATATATTAGACACAACAAAGCGCCCGGGAGCTATATTATGCATGTTAGAAGCCTTTTACAGCATTCATGAACGCCAGACATTGGTGTGGTAATCATAACTTAAAAAGCCTCTAAAAGAGAATGGGTTTTTTTTTATTTCAAGAGTGTAATTGGGACACAAATATCACAAAGGGATTTGACGCGAAAAAAAACATTTAGGGCAGTATTGACGGCACGAGATTTATATTAAATTCTTCGCGCAAAGTCCATGACGTCCCGGAATGGTCATACACCTCAACGATAGGGTCATACACTCTCTCCGCCTCAACGTGATGGCCAAGCCGATCCACCTCTCCACGCGCCCGAAATGCCGAGCGAGAAAACAAGTGTACCGACTAAATCGCGTCTCGCGCCGTTAGTATTGCTCTAAAAATTATTTTTTTCGCGTGGAATTAATTTTTTGACACGCGTGTCCCAACCAAACTGTTCACGAAATACTTTTTTTTCTTTTTAAAGCTATTTAATGGTTGTATCAGAAGTTTCAATAAGAAGAGTAGTGATCTGTCTTTTTGGCGTAATGGAAAGTGGCTTAGTTTCATACCTTCTCTCGTATATGATGCATTACGATCGAATAGCTTGCCTTCTGAGTTCCTTTCCTGGTCGATGTCCAAACCTGGGAAGGTGGCCGTCCTCAATTAGATACAATATTTGAACTCAAATTCAGCATTTAGATTACTCTTGAGATCGCCTAAGTTTTGGGCAATGCAACTGTCTTCTGGATAAGACCAGATTGATAAGGCGAATAAAAGATATTTGAGACTCTTCATGGTGCACATGATCCTCCGTAAAGAGCATATGCCCAACCAACAAAAAACACATCTTTTTCGATAGTCAACGCCGCAGCGGTCTATTGGTAGTACGGCACCGTCCAGGCGCAGAACAGGGAATTTAATATATTCTTCTGATTACTCCAATAACGATACCTAAAACTCCACCATCGGCTTTTCGCCTGCATCGTATCGTTCTCGGCTGTTGTAACGGTATTAGGGTAACGCTTTGCTTAGAGGTTCTAATGACTGTTACGTTAACTTGTGAGGCAAAAAGATATTTTTTGCGAGGGATCAGAGGTAGGGTTGTGCATTAACTAAAACATGTAGCCCACGAATTGGTGAAAATAAGTCGATGAATGAATCGGTCAATCAGTCTACTGCGGAGAGTGAAAAAATGCCCAAGGTCGTTGTAGCCACCAAAATGTATAGCTCAACTATAGCCTGTAACTTGTTTATAGTAACGCCATATTATAGCGGGCCTCGTGAACTCGCGCCGCAATGGAATCAGATTGTTTTGCAGGTAAAACCGCGGTGCAGGAAGCAGTTCGCACTGTCTGGCAGATAAGGACTTACTCGTTCCGCCTTAAACGCGCACGAAATTTTTTTATCCACAAAACCTGCGATTCAAACGTCTAGAAATACGACTACTGTGCCCGAATACCATAACCAAACGGGTCGGACAAGCTTTACGAGCGCGTCGTCGTCTAGCCATTTAGTTTCGAATCCAGCCTTGCACCGGTGTTTTGCAGATGTCCCCCCTAGGCCGTAGTACTCATTTTGACAAAGAAAGCTCAGAGACTGGCTGCAAAGAACGCAAAAAAAAAAAAAAAAAAGCTATGATAATTTATGTTTTCGTCTTTTTCTCTCTGCTAGGTACGAACACAATTATAATCCCGTTTAAAGTTAAGACCTCCAAGAGTAGTAATAAATGCTCGGAAATTAAGGCGGTCTTCGCATACTTTAAACTGTCCCCCAGCTCCCTCGTTCCCCCACCAAATGGCTCGTAGGCATCAAAATGCACGAACTGTTTTCCTCGTTGCTGCGCTCCTCTGGGCTGTCGCTCATTGCTGGAAATAAAAAAGTTATTCTTAGCGCACAGAAGGTTAAAGTTGCCACATTGGCAAAGAGTTATGACCCCTATAAGAATGTACCTCAGTTCTTTCCCAGGCAAACAAATGGTCAGATCTTCTTCTTCTTGTTCTTCTGTGGTCCTATAAGAAACGAGTCGTTAGTCACAAAACTAAATTAGGCTAGCTTTGTCACCCCTAGAGAAAACTCTATAGTCTATAAGAATTTCAGAGAAATGAATTTATATTTTATATATTCTAATGTATTCGAAGACATGAGACGAATGAACCATACCGATTATATAGAAAAAACGTCACGAAGTCCCGAAGGGAAATTTCTGTGGCGGCACCGGAATCCGGGCGCTGCCAAAGATTTTGCCTTTCAGCGGCTTCGTAACCTTAGTTTTATTGGGTCGGTATGATTGATTGATCTAATACTTTACATTATTTTGTCTTTAAAGACCAGACAAAATGGTTGAAATTTTCCTCTTTAAATGTTCAGTCTTAAGAAGAGGAAGACTCTATATTCTTGAAAGGACACTGAAAAAAAATATAGGTTTAAATAAAACGGATAATTATTTTGTAAATATTTTCACCAAAGAAAAGTTATCTAGCAATATGTACGTTGTTACACGCAATTTCGGAAAAGGAGAAAAGGGGGGGGGGGGGGGCTCCCTAGGCCCCGCCCGGTGTTGACAAAACTACACTGTGACAAAACTGTGCACCTTTTCTCGGCTCTCATTGGTTGCAGGGATTATTGACTCGTGAAATGTTGGTTGTAAAGTTGTATCTCCGTGCTGTAACCATATTTTAACCTACAATATTTTTATGTTTGACAAATAAATAATCTAGATAGAGTCATTATTGTTTTCAAGAATATCCCGAGATTCCCTTTCCCCGTCAGCTTCAAACGATAACAAAACATGGCTTCCGGCGTCTGCGGATTGATCAACGAGCGCAGCTCGTC